AGGGCACCAGATGCTGTGCTGTTTCCCCTATTGCTTCTTCCTTCACACCAGGTATAAGGTTTCCAGGCATTTGCGCAACCTGATAGCAGAAAGCGCCTGTCTTAGCAGTTGAGAGATGGGTTGGCAGGTTGCTCAAATTACTCCATCTTCCTGATAAGAGCCACTGATCCAGGTGCTGGCTGCGGGGGGTGGGAGCTGCACCGCCAGCGCCCTACCCAGCAGCGATGGAGGTGGGGGTCTCTGTAGTGTTTCAGGACTCCAGGAGTGTGCCCACGGCAGTGTGGCCACCGTCGCTAGGGAAGCAGCACAATTTGAGAAACAGATCTTGTCTTTCAGGAGACGGGTCTTAGGAGATGGTAGCACACAAGGCAGAAGCAGCACCACACTGAAAACACAAAGTGCAAACCCAAGAAATAGAATTGGTATTCTCTTAACCTAAAACCCAGTTGAAGAATTTATGAGTTGGGTAGCGATAGGAACAGTGATGACCAAGACTTGAACTTGCAATGGGTAAGTGGATGTGTACACAGGTAATTTTAATACAGTGTGGTAATTGCTCTGGTAGAGCTGTGCCCCGAGTGTATGTCAAAGCCTTGTGTCTTGGTAACATACCCTTTGAGTACAAGTTTATCCGAGTAGTTATCTAGTTATCACCGTGTACTAAAATATTGGGTTAAGAGGACCCATTCTGGTGTCAGACTGCCTAGATTCAAATACTATCTCTATACCTATGTAACTTTGTGTCCTTTGTACAAGTTACCACCTCTGCTGCTTTTTAATCTGCAAAATGATACTAGTAGTTTCCGCCTCACAAGATTGTTGCATTAAGTGCGGTGCGTTAATATAATAAATACAATGTGCCCGGAAGAGTGCCTGCTCCCTGGTAAGCACTATGTGAGTTCTGTCTGTTGTTAGGATGGTGGTTATAGCACCAAGAAGGGGCACCAGAAACCATGGCAAACGCTTGCTAACAGAGGGCCATGCAGACTCAGTATTTATTGTATCCACAGAGAGACTCTTAGTATTAATTATGCCAGGCACTCCACGGAAGCAAATTAATGAAATGTTAACCAACTATGTGATTGTATACACTACACACAAGAGCCGGTGTCTTGGAAAGCTGTGTAAAAAGAGTATCGACGTAAGAAACTCTGGTACCCATGGCACTTTCAGAGAAGGAAGCTTGCTGCTGCTCTGGAAACTGCATTGGAGGCCCTCAAGTTTTCTTGACATTTTGAAGAAAGGCTATATACGTTACTTTACGGTAGGGCAATATTTACCTATTTCAGACAGTTATGAATCTTTCCTGATATTTATTTTTTTAAAGATTTTATTTATTTTTAGAGAGAGAGAAAGAGAAAGAGAGAAACATTGGTCAGTTGCCTTCTGCACGCCCCCAACTAGGACCTGGCCAGCAACCCAGGTTGAAGTCACCCTCATCTGCAGCCCAGGCATGTGCCCCGACTGGGGATTGACCGGTGACCTTTCATTGTGCAGGCTGGTGCTCGGTCCACTGAGCACCACCAACTGGGGCTGTTTCCTGATTTTTTAAAACCTCTAGGAGAAACCACTTTAGATCAGAATCAACCCATCCTCCCACCCTTTCTTTCTTCCCTCTCCCTTCCTCTCTAAAAGGGAAAAAATGCTAATACTTAAATCAATTTCATTGTTGTTGTTTTTTTAATTTTTTTTCATTGTTCTTTATATTAAAAATAAGCTTCTTGTCCTGACTAGTGTGGCTCAGTGGGTTGAGTGTCATCCCATAGGCAAACAGAAAGGTCACTGGTTCAATCCCTGGTCAGAGCACATGCCTGCGTTGTGGGTTTGGTCCCCAGTTGGGGCACATGCAAGAGGCAACTGATAGACAGATGTTTCTCTCCCTCACTTTCTCCCTTCCTGCCTGTCTTTTTCTCCCACCTCCTCTCTCTAGAATCAATAAATGAAAAAAATTGACCACACAATGTATTGATAATGGAGTAGGTAGACAAGTAAGCACTCATATTGCTGGTGGAGTAAAAAGTCCCATAACCTTCATGAAGAGAGAGGTACATAGCAATATCTGTTAAAACATAATATGAATATATTATTTTCACTCAGCAGTTCCATCTCTAGGAATTTATCCTACAGATACTCTTGCATCTCTGTATAATGTGATAGCATTATTTGAAACAGCAAAAAATTGAAAAACCAAATGCTCTTTGACAGGAAATCTGTGAACTAAAATAAGTTACAGTTATACAATGGAATATCATGTAGCCATTAAAAAGAATTAATTCTACATGAATGGAAATAGAAGATTCTAAAGTACATCCTGTAAAAAGTCAAGATGCAGAATAGTGTATAGTTGACAGCTGTTTGTGTAATGAAAAAAAGTATGTATTGACATGCACGTAGACGCTCTGCCAGGAGACACAAGACTCTGTAACAGTGTTACCCCACAAACAAAGAAAAAATGGTGCTAGTGGTAGCATAGGTTATTTTAATTTTGTCTATCACATTGTTTATTGGTATATAGTATGTTTTCAGTGCTTATATTTATTATTAACTATGTCTTATATTCATTACTGTCATATTCAGAGAGAGAAAAACTGATTATAATGAAAATGCAAATACAAAGGGGTGGGTAAATGGAGAGATAATTAAAAATGGAAACGTGGTGAATACGTGTTGGGATGCATGATTCAACAGCACAATTACAAATGGTCAAGTGCTAATCATAAAGTGAATTGAGAAGAAACAAAACAAGTCAGAATCACTACCATAAGCCTCTGCGTTTTTCTTAAATGCTCCCTCACTAGATAGGCTCCCATGGGCTACTTGGATATTTTTCACATTGGAATTCTATGGACTAATGTGATTAGGAGCTGTCTTTCATTCCAGACCTAACCTGATGGTAAATAGAGGATCTTCTGTACCTCGAGGGGAGTGGGGACAGCGTTTCCGTGGGAGCATAATAATAGAATGCCAGCTGGGATGGGGTGGACACAGGGAGAGCATTCTGCAGGAGGTGGTGCTGAGTACTGAGTGAGTAGGGGGCAGGGCAGGCAAAGGAGAGTGAGAGGCAGGCCGTTCCAGGAGGAAGAAGCAGTTTTACAAGGACAAGGCAGGAGGGGAGTTGCAGGTGGGTCAGTAGGCTTGGAACACAGGGCAGGAAGGCAGGGGATTTTCCTGGCATCTTGCTAGTTTGCTCATCCACCAACTGCCATCCCCTTGCAGCCACGCACCCTCCCTCTCGAAGTGGACTGGCTGATGGTGACTGGATTATCTCACCACCGTGGAGTGCAGCTTCACAGTGTTAGGTGGAACGTTACACTGTCTTCATCAAAAAAAAAAACAAAAACAAAAACCCCCACAAAAAACAGAGAGAAGAACCTGTATTTCATTATGTTGTATATATGTAGTTGTTCAGCTTTCTAGCAGAATTACTTATTATTTTCAGCTGTCTTTTCCCCCTCTTTGGAATCACAATTTGAGCGCTGCATGGAAATAACTTGAACCTTATGTTTCATTTCAGTATACTTAAATTTATGTGAATCCCTTTCATACCACACAGGCATACATTTTGCTCTTCATAGCAGGGATGCTGTGACAGCGTTTTGTCCATCAGAGGCTTTCAAAATATTTTATGAACGTTTAAGTGCTTAATTTCCACAGTATACCAGGGAAGGTGGCATGTAGACAAGTGATATCTCTTCACATATCTTATCTAGTAGCACATTTTGGTTGTTCTTGCCTCTTAAGGAAAAAGTTTCTCCTTTGAAGCTGAAATGTTCTGTGCTTTGAACCCGCTCAAAGATAAATTACTCTGGAAAGCTTGAACCAAACCTGATCGTATGCTTCTGAGTTATGAGAAAAGGATTGAAATAAAATTTTTAGCTAAAAATAATTTTGCTCACAAGTTACCAAAAATGGCTGACTACAGATGCTTTTAAGGCACTTGTCTGAGCTACCATTAGCTGAAGGTCAAGAAAAAGTTGAGAACAGTTTTTGAGAAATGATTGGCTCGGCTTTGCCAAAGGTTTTGCCAAGCTTCTCATTCCATAATTACCTCATGAGACAGAAGCTGGTGGAAGTGTTATGCCTTAGATTTAGTAGGGATCTAGAGATTCTTTAAATAGAACACATATAGATGCTGCCTGTTTCTTCCATGGAAGGCATTAGGGTTAGGTGAAAATGGGACATTTAATTCTAAAAATATTGAGCAATTGCCTATGCTAATTAACTACTTAAAACTCGTATCTCCTGTTGCAGAGCAGTTTTTGCTCTCAGGGAAGATGTGTCAGTCTCCACAGAGAGCCAAGTGACCAGCCGTCAGCACGTGGGATTGCCAGCGAGACCCTGTCAGCCGGTTAAGGCGCCTCTCTGCCCTGCAGTGAACGGTGGATTGAAGAGTCACTCACAGTTATGGGAAGCACTTTTCATTCATGGTATGATCAGTTACCATGGGAGTTTATAGTCTATACTTCATCCTAGAACCACCCCGTGCCTCGGGGACTACGCAGAGGGTCCTCTGCAGCGGCCGTATGGGCCATCGTTAGGGGTGGTTCCCGTGAGAAGCTGGAGAGGCGTGAGCTGACTTTTCCTTAAGGTTGCTTGTATTGTAGAATCACATTTTGAATTAGAATAAAATTTAGAGCTTTTAAATTTTCTTCATAAAAGTCACTATTTAAAATACAGCCAACATAAAGCCATGATGTTTTTCCTTCGTAAGTACAAAACCTACTTAGTGAGCACCCGAAGTGTCTGAGGTAATGAGAAGGGAAGTAGACGGAGCGCATGTCAGAGGACCTCATGAAGACCTCCGCTTCCCTTGCGTTGGGGAAGGGCAGTAGTGGCCTGTTGGGGACGGCGGGGAGGGGGGCGGTTGTCGACACTGTGAGGAGAGTAGAAGTCTAGAAGTAAGGGCTGTCCTACTGTGATGAGGATTCTTCAGAAAGTAAAATAGGCGCATGGAGCGGGCTCAGGAGGGAAGTCCCGAGACAAAGGAAGTGCCCGCCTAGTCCACCTCGCTCGCCGAGCCGTGACCGCCCTAGGACTTTGAATATGTCGGGGATCGCCCTCAGCAGACTTGCCCAGGAGAGGAAAGCTTGGCGAAAAGACCACCCATTTGGTTTTGTGGCTGTCCCAACAAAAAATCCCGACGGCACGATGAACCTCATGAACTGGGAGTGCGCCATTCCAGGAAAGAAAGGGACCCCTTGGGAAGGAGGCTTGTTTAAACTGCGGATGCTCTTCAAAGACGACTATCCATCCTCACCTCCGAAATGCAAATTTGAACCACCGTTGCTTCATCCGTACGTGTATCCTTCTGGCACTGTAAGCCTGTCCATCCTCGAGGAAGACAAGGACTGGAGGCCAGCCATCACGATTAAGCAGATCTTATTAGGAATACAGGAACTTCTAAATGAACCAAATATCCAAGATCCAGCTCAAGCGGAGGCCTACACATTTTACTGCCAAAACAGAGTAGAATATGAGAAAAGGGTTCGAGCACAAGCCAAGAAGTTTGCACCCTCATAAGCAGCGACCTGCGGCAACATCAAAAGGAAGGGATTCGTTTGGCAAGAACTTGTTTGGAACATTTGCAGATCTAGCATTGCTCTATACAATTACTAGTCACCTAGGGGAGGCAGGCGGGCGCCATTTTCCATTTCCGCCACTGGTACACAGTTCTCCACTTGCTGAATTGCCCAGTTTTTCATACAGTGTGTCTTCCTTCAGTCTTTTGTATTTTTGATTGTTATGTAAAACTTGCTTTTATTTTAATATTGATGTCAGTATTTCAACTGCAGTAAAATTAAAAACTTTTATACTTCTACGAGTCCCTGAGGAGCTAGTTCCTTTTGCTCGTGGCTGCAGGTATGCTTCTCACTGTCAGAGCTACACAGAGCCTCCAGCTGGCTGTATGAAAAAGAAATTGGCCTGTCCCCTGCCCTCGCGCCTCTGTCCTTCTCTTTGCAGAACCTGGGTTGTTTTGCTATGAGCCTCAGATCCAAAGTCAGCCAGTCTCTTGTTTCCGCACCACTTCCTTTGTGTTTATATGGCGTTTTGTCTGTGTTGCTGTTTAGAGTAAATAAACTGTTTATATAAAGAAAAAAAAAGTAAAATAAAAGGATTGCCAACTCTTGTGAAGTGCCAGCTCCTAGTGATGGCCTTTAGACTTTGGAAGGCTGTGAGGTATGTTTATGGAAATAGAAGTTGATGTCAGGATGTAAAAGTATTGAAAAACTAAAGAAAAATTCAAAGCTGTAGAAGTGTAGAAAGGGAACCAAAGGGTCCGGATGATGGTCTGGTAGACAGGCAAAGAAGGGGCTAAGAAGGAACAGAGATCTTCAATGTGCAGGGTTCAAGAGAGTGGGACTTTTGCCCTGCCTGGTGTGGCTCAGTGGACTGAGTGCTGGCCTCTTCAGTTCCCAGTCAGGGCACAGCCTGGGTTGCGGGCCAAGTCTCCAGTAGGGGGCATGCGAGAGGCAACTGCACGTTGATGTTTCTCTCCCTCTCTTTCTCCCTCCTTTCCCCTCTAAAAAAATAAATCTTAAAAAAAAGAGTGGGACTTTTGTGTGGAGACATGGTGTTGGAGGCAGGTAAAGGGAAAGATGTGAAGAGGCAGGTGGGTGGGAGGGGGCATGGAAGAAAGATGGGCAAAACCACAAAGGACAATGGAGAGACCAGGACTGTGAACAAAAAGCAAAAAACAAACAGACCCAGAGAGGATAGAGGAAAACAGAAAAGCAGGCACAAGGAAGATAGGTAACCCGAGTAGAGTGCATTTTTTTCATACCACAGGAGGTAAGAAACATTTTGGGTGCCTTGGTTCACTCTCCCTTTCCCTGTCTTCCTTCTGTCATTCCCTGCTTTCCTTCCTTCCTTCCTTTTTCTTAGAATAAAGTTAAGTGTGATACAAAGATTGTGGATTGGTACAGATCTTAAAGTGTAAAAGTTAAAGCTTTAAAGTCTTACTCATGCTGCATATATATATAGTATGTAAAGCCAAGTGTGGGCGGAATTATAATTATATTGATTTATTGTCTAGCCATCCCTTCCAGCTCTAAAATTCTGTTTAGATACAGTGTGTGTGTGTTCTAGCATTGTTACAAGAACTATAACTTTTGCGCTTCCTGTTTCTAGATATTAAAATGTGTAAAATTAACAATGTATTTCTATATGTTTTGTATTTCACATCTAAGGCAGACATTAGCCCCATAAATTAAGTCTTTAGAAATCCAGTTTCTTTCTTTGGACACCTGTTTTCTTCTGTGAAACCTTGAGCTGAGATGTTAAACTTCTTCCCTGTTTCCCTGTCTGCTAAGCATGGATAATAGTACCTGTCCTACAATGTTGTGTAGTTAACCAAAATCTTTATATGACAAACCCCGCTAAAGTATAATGTTCAGTTACTTTTAAAAAATTAATTTGTACTTTGCCCCGAGACCCTAATTGTGATGCTTTTTTCTTGTTGTCTTGGTTGACCAGGGTGGGGGGTGTTGGTGAGGGGGGGTGGGGGACGAGCGGGGAGAGGATCCTTAAAAAAAAAATTCTGTGGCTTTTATCATACACACATTTGAGTGGATTTTAGCTGATGATGTTGGGTTGACCAAAAGGTTTGTGTGGTGTTTTCCATAAAATACAGGACACATTTTTCATTTTCACCAATAACTTTACTGATTTGGTTATTTTGAGTATATCAGCTATTTCCTGCTATTGGCCTCCAGTGGGTAGAGGCCAGGGGTGCTGCCAAACACTGTCCAGTGTATAAGACAGCCCCACAGCAAAGAATTACTTGGCCAAAATGTCAATAGTACCAAGAAACTTTGCAAACCACTTTTGACATGTTCGATCAGTCACAGCACCTTCTCAACTCACTGCACAAATCTTTTTCTTTGTGTTTCAGTTGTGTTTGTATCTTTCTTAAAATAATAAAACATAATACACTGAAAATGTTGCATACCTTCTTCTATCTTCAATATTAAAGTGGCTGCACAAAAAAAAATCACCAGTTTTGATAGGTTTTTTTAAAACAATGCATGTTGACATGACAGCTGTTAACACTACAGTCTAACAAAATTGTTTCGAACGAAGCTGAAGACAACTAAGCACTACTAGAGCCACTGTATGGAAAAAACTAAATGAACTTCTTAGCCAACCCAATAATTTCCTCCCGCAGACTTATCTTTTCAGCTTCATGGACCCCAGAATTGGCCTGGGACATTCTTATATGTTGGCTTCCCCAAGTTGCTGTTGAAAACAGATGACTAAACTTATTAAAATCACTGGTGGTTATTATGGCAGTGTCTGTCACTGTGGGCTGACTGGAAAGGAAGTTATTGTGGTTGTCAGAAAGAGATACTGAAAGAGAAGGGGACGAAAGTGTGAGTGGCTGTGGCTGCTTAGCTGTGCCCACTGTCTGTTGTGGGGAGAGGCAGAGGCTTCAGGTGGCTCCTCTCCTAAGATTTGAATAAAAGCTTTCTTCTCCAGTTCCGGTGGAGGGCTGCTTCTAGAAAGAACCACCTTTCTTACTCCCTCGTTTTGTGCATTTTATGTCTAGTCTCTCCATCCCACCTCTGCACTCATTTTATATAACGTAAAACAGGAAGAGGTGTTGTTTGAGGTCCCACTCTGTGTGAGGTAGTGTGGGCAAGAGCCAGGGGATGTTCCGTAGAGGCTTTCAGTTTAGTTGAGTAATGATATATAAACTTAGCCAGAATTTAATAACAACATAAGTTGCCTGGTGTAAAATATGGTAAAGGATTATATACCCTGCTCATTTGTTGGTAAGAAAGACTGTATTGAGTACAGAATTGTTCCACAGTTGTTTTTCTAGATTTGCTGTATGCTTGGAAATGTAAAACATACAGGAGAAAAAAAAAGGGGGAGCCAGAATGTAAGGTACAGCAACTGAGGAAGTTTTTATGACTTTATATTCCTTTTGACTAAGTTGACATTATTTTAATCTTGGACCCCGGGGGCCAAGGGCCACTTTCCTCTGGCTCTGGAAGCTGACTCAGACTTTCCCCCGCTCTCCCTCCCCACCTCAGCTCCTTCCAGGATCTCCAGCGGCTGGCTTTGGAAATTAGCTGCAAGATACATGATGTAATGGAGTAAATACTTAATTTTGGGGGTGTGTGTGTGTGTGTGTGTGTGTGTGTGTGTGTAGAAGAAATAACTAAAGTTCTGTAGTGAAAAAGAAGGGGATGTGCAGGGATGCTTTTGAATCTTTGCGTCTTAGGTTAGGAAGAGTGTTATGCAGGTTGGGTGTGCGCCTGGGAGATCTGAAGGGGCTCTTCGTTGGCTTGAAAGATCTCTAGGCCTCTTCTGAAGGCAGCAGTTTTTTGTTCACAAGATAGTTTGGTTGGTGAATTTGAAGAATAGCACTTCTACCATGTAAATGTCTGAAATGACAGAAGAATCCAAGAGTGACCGCCCAGGAGTGTGCGTTTGAGCTGCAGGCACCGGGGTTTTGAAGGACGGCTGTCTGGGCAGACTGGGACCGGGCGGAGAGAATGCTCATGAGTTCCCCGGGACTGAGATCACCAGGACCCACTGATTGCAGGGTGTGCCAGATGCTGGTGAGTCCCTTTTCTTCCCTTACCTGTTGCGCTCTGAGAAGTCGTTGTTTGGGACAGGTGGCTAGGTAGGCACCCGTTGTCACACTGTTTATTGTAGTATGCTCTCTGAGCCAGGGCTCAGCCCCCCTTCCTTCAGGACCTGAAGGGCTGACTGACGTGCGAAGGTCGGTACCCTTTTTCTGCTGGTGGGAAAGTGGCTTAGAAATGGAGAGGCTGGTGCCTTCTAGTCGTGCAGAGAAATGCTCTCCGGGCACTTCTTCCCTTTTCCTCAATCAGCAGTGCTTATAACATCGTTATCATGTGAGGAATGAGAGTGGAATCCTTCTTTCCCTGGGGCTGTTTTTCTGCCAGATTTCAGCAGTCTCATATTTCCTGGTGAATTTTTAAAAAGAGTTTTATTCAAGTCCAAGAAGCCTTGCCTTTGCAACTACTTTAAAGAGTTCTTTTGCTTACCTGATGGATTCTTGCATGTCCCATGTTGTGAGAGACACCGGTGGGAGTGGTGTCCCCACTGGGTGACGGCCTGGAGCGGGGCTTCAGTGGCGAGTCGGGCGTTGCAGCCTTCATTAGGAGACTCTTAAGAAGGGAAAGACACTTTTTGTTTGGGACAGAAAATAAAAACCAGCTTTTCTGAGGCCAGCACAGGACCATGTGTAGTAACCGATGAATTCACCCTCTTTTCCTCCTTCCCTCCCTGTTGCGGTTGATCTCACAGCAGCTGTTGCCAGCTGTCCTCTGGATTTGGCCCAGGCCCCTTGGGATGGTGCAGTGACTCACACAACTGGGCTTTTTTCCATTCTGGTCTGAATCTGGCTTCTCAAGAAGTAGGACCGGGACGAGGAAAAGGGCGACCCTGGCGGCGCGGGAGTGGGTTTTCTTGTTGAGGTTACTGTCTGCCCCGGGCTCTGGGTTTGGTTGGTACTCCTTGAAAACTGCAGTCCTAGAAGGTGACGTTGCTGGGTGAGGGTGGGCAAATGTGTTAGCCGGAAGAAGTGTTCTTGGAGAAAGCAGTGTTCTTTTGCTTTTTTTCCCCTCTTCATTTCCTTCCAAACCTTCCACTTTAGAACAAACTGCCTCTTTGCTTTTCAAATGGGTGTGGAGTTGTGTGTGAAATGGGTAGATGAGTGAATGCTGAGGGACACATGCGTTAAAAATGGGGTGATGTTCTTTGTACTCACTCTGATTCTTGGTGTTGATGTTTCGTGGGCAGAAATGTTGCTCGTTGGCCTTTTTCCCCCCAGTTTTTCGAGCTAGCCTCTCCTCCTGACTTTGAGCGCTGCCCTCTCCCCTTTCCTTCCATGAGGGCCACCTCTTCCCAGCTTGGGAACCTACGCAAATGAGATGTCTCAGTAAAGAAAATAAAAAGGATCCTTGAGGTATTAAAAAAAAATTCTTCACTTTTACCTCTTTGGGCTCTACGCTCGGGTTTCTAAAAGGGTGACAGGCTACAGGAGAAATCTCTAGACCTGCTCTAATACAGGAGCCCTTAGCCGCGCGTTACGGAGGACCGGCTTGTCTGAATGAGAGGCTCCGAAGGGTAAAATACACACTACATTTGAAAGACTTAGGACAAAACCAAATTTCATTGAAATTTGTAAAATATTGGCTATGTTTTTATACAACATGTTGATACACTGCTATTTTGGGTATGTTAGAGTCAATGAAGTATATTATTAAAATAATATCACCTGTTTTTACTCTTTTTTGGGGGCTACTAGAAAATTTTAAATCACATAAAAGGCTCATATTTCTGGTTCTCATGATATTTCTGTTAGATGCTGCTATAAGCAGAAGAGGAAGTTTCTGGAGTACTGGTGTGCTCCTCTCTGGTAGTATCTATTTCCCGAACCTTGAGGGGCCGCTTTGGTAGTTTGGAATTCACAGCCCAGCGTACTACAGCATGCCCT